AAAATGGCTAAAATACCAAACAATGCTTACAAATCTAGAGCCTGGATGCAGCTTATTAACATATCATAAATCACAAAACGATTATGATCATGCAAAACATATCTGGAATACTTTCGCTATAAAAATATGGAATAGTACTCCAACTTGTATGACAAAACTGATGTTCTTTTACCATGAGATGTTTCTGAACAATTTAGATCTCCGCTTGATAACCTACAAACTGAATCCTGCACGGTAGTTTATAGCATCATGTCTCGCTCAGGATGAAATGCATAAAATGCACTACAACCAAAATTAAATATTTGTTGATTATGATATGCTGCTTTTCATTCAACAAATGTTAAAAGCAAAATCCTTCCCATCATATAAAAACATGAGATAAACAAGCTGCTACCAGAAGCTTATGTGCTAGTACTTTATTTGATTATCATTTAAGCTAAATTATAATGGAGACTTAGAAGAATGAAGATGGAATAAAGAAAAAATCTTCAAAAAATCTCGCAGGGTTCATACACATTTCTGCACACAGAAATTAAGTACTTTTAAAGACTTTTAAGGATCATTAATGAAAAAAATTAAGGACCTATGAGCAAATGGGAACTGAATAAATTCATTTGAAGATATTATCTATGCCTCAATTTCACTTTTGTAATACCATCCTAACAATAAAATAGATCCCTAAGCAGTACGCATTATTACTAAACATGAATTAATTAACATAATTGTTAATAAGTTTGAGAATAAAATAAACTATGCAATTTATCAAGTAGCATTAAATATTTTACAGTTATGATAGTTGGTCATATTTGAACGTTTATATCGATTTCCTTCTCTTTTAAGCATTTTTTCTAACAATTAGAAATTTGTCTCAATATGCAAAGCAATGCTCTCACAAGTTTCTGCGTGCTTCATCTCCTAACTTGTCAACCTCTCCATAATGTACCAATGAGGGTTTAATTGACCTGGTAAAAGTTAAATAGTCCAAAACCCCCAACAGACGTGAAGCATATTATCGCTATGTCTGAAATTAACTACAATATCAGACAAAGGTTTAAATGAGCCTCTTATTTAAAAAGAACTTAGAACATAAAGGCATGTTCTGATGCTAACAAAATCAATTACAGCTCACGGTGACGTAATTAAACAAGAACAGTCAAATTCAAACTAATAATGTGGACTAGTGGTCAAAGGTTATACAATTTAATTGTAATTTAATCTGGCTCAATAACTCTATCATATCAGAATATAGAAATGGGAAATTACAGTAAAGGTTGAAATCATAAACAATTGGGTGATTTACATAATAATAACTGCACATATCTTTGAAGAATAATTTCCTTTATGTACTCAGTTTCTTTCTTCAACACATTTCCTTTTCATTTTAGAATTTTTGGATTTAATTAAGGATTTGTTATTCTAAAAAACACTAAATGCACTTAGAACGTACAGAAAAAGTGGATAATTTTATTTCTTTAGTAATATGAACATTCAGAAGCAATATGAAATATATATAGTAAAGGCCAGTTACAGAACTGATGTGGCAGAATTTTTATAGAATTGAAGTGACACATACCAAAGCAACAAAATCTAGAAATGGCAAAACTTTTAGAATTTAGAGCAAGCATTGGAAGCAGAATTTAGAAAGGCAGTAGGCAGTAGAATTTAGGATACACAGAGATTGCATCAGGTGGGAAAATGCCTAGTGTCAGCTATGTGTTTGCTTGAGGCTGCTTGCATAATTTTCTCATAGGAAATGTGTACGATGCATTAAGAAATATTAGATGAATCTTTTAAATTCAAGTTTTCAATTTCTTTATTAATAAAAAAATCCCTTTCATTATAATGCCTGTCCATGTGATAAGATCAGAAGCATTTTTGATATTTTCCATGCTTCTGTCAAGTGAAAAGTAGAGAAAATAAAGAGAAAATAAACACGTTAAGATAATTAAGATAAGTAATACATTCAAATATGTTAAGATATAAGTAATACATTCAAATATGTTTTCATTGTTTTTCCAGATTTTCTCTCAAAATTAAGAAATTCATTGCAAATTTCTGTAAAATACATCCACTACGTGTTGACACCATGGAGACATTTTTCATTTTGTCACATATTTCTCGAATCTTCTAGAATCGTGGGTCTATAAATCTTGCCTTCAAAACCTTCTAAACTTTCTAAGCTGCAATGTCTAAAATCCTACAGAAAAATTATCCCTACCATTTCTGTAACCGAAAAATGCCAGAAATATTTTGGAAAAAAGTAGGAGGGAAAATGTATAAAATTAATTTTATAGAGAAAACTGATGCACATTCTGAGAATTTTGAATATTCTGAGACAATTACATGGGAAAAATTCTTACTATGAAAAAATTAAAAACAAGACATTTTTAATTAATTACACACCTAATTTTGCTTTTGCTAAGAGCTGTTTAGTAAATTGAGCTTTAAAGCATTATACCTTGTTTATTTTTCAGATTTAAAATATTGTACAAGTTGCCAAAATGATACTTTATAATATGACAGCGAAAAATAAAAATGTTTTATTTTAATGTTATTTTTTAAATATAATTTCAATATATTACCATTATTTTAATAATTTTATTATATTACGACGTTTTAAAAAAAATCGTCGAAAAATTCTCAGATTTTGGAATTAAAAAAGTTTCTATAGAAACTAATCTTAAAATCGCCAAAATGTTGAAAAGTCGCCAAATTTAGAACCGTTTAATAAAAGAATTCACATTCCCCAAAGCAAAAAGTTGTATAAGAGCTCTTTACTAGAAAAAATGAATTTTGAAATGCTTACGTTTCACTTCTTGCTTAGAAACTCAAGTATCCCATCATTTATATTAGAAATAGAAACAAATTATAACTCATGAACCCATTCAAAAGATTACCATATATACAGCAGTGAATCGCCAAAAATATTCCTCAAAATGCTAATTCACACTCAAAATGACAGTCGTAAAAACAGACAGAAATTTCAGATGATTAAAATTAAGGACCTTCTGTTGATTTTGGCCAAAATTAAGGACTTTTTAAGGACCAAAAATCGATTCCAAAAAATCTAAGGACTTTTAAGTACTCTTAAGGACAGTACAAACCCTGCTCAGTGAACACTTAAGAGTACTTTTATATTACCACAACCACCTTGATGCAGTTTGGTGAATTTTACAGAACAATTACTTTTATTGTAAAAAAAAAGTACATATTACATACATGCATACTTTACATTTCAACTATATTCTCGTCCCAAAAAACAGGCAGTGAACTTAGTTACAAATGGTTTTATAGTTTTTGTTTTTATTGTGGTGGAAATTTCGTAGCAATCATTCTTGAAAAGATTCCAGCTATTATTCCTTTAACAACTTTGCAGCAAAATACTATATTCCCGCATAAATTTCACTTCCGCTTCTTCTATTATACGAAAATCCCATGAGCATGAATTTTAAAATCATGTTTGTGACAAAAAAATAATTACAACTTTTCTATAAAAGACGATGGAACTTGCAATACAGCAAAAGGATGCGTATGAAAATGGCAATGTTGAAAATTAAATATTTGTTATACACGTTTGCCTGAATATTTGTTATGCATATGTTAAACAGAGTTTGGCAAAATCTGAAATTTGGTGACTTCTACACAGGTGGTTATGATAACATGCAATTACCTACTCGACTAACTCAACTGGACTACTGATAATATTCAAGTAAAATCTTTTGTTCTTATCTCTTAAACCATATGTTTTCCTGTTTCCTCAGTATGTCAGCAAAACATCTTTAATGTATGTCATTCTGTTAATTCTTTGTTCATTAAAATAACTAACTTAACCCTTTGAGTGGCAGGGCATTTTGGGTCTGCTCATGAAGCTCTGTATTTAAACAACTGTTATTAGTTAAGTTTTTATAATTAAGTATTTTAATATCTGTTTTCATAAACATCTACTCATTAAGATGATATTTACATAATTAAAGAAAGTAAAAAAGAAAAATATTTTAAATTATAATATAATATGTACCAAGTGATAAAAAATCTCATGGCTGTATAAGGACAGTCACACCACTCTGGAGCTTAAAAGACATATTTCTTATGTTTAGAAAAGCTTCACTCTATGTCTTCCTATACTGGATTCCTAAATCACAAATTATATTGGAAAGGATCCTAAAAATTGTAAGTACTCTTCTGTTACTAGGACCAGATTCCAAAATGTATGTATATATGCACTTGTGTATATGTAGGTGCATGGACACATATATACATATGTATGTGTATATAGACATATAATAAACTTAAAGCATTTAAAGTGTTTTGAAGGCATGTAGGGAAAATCCTGCTACATCTGAGATTCACTTTTTTTGGTTTCATATGAATTTTAATGTCTGAAATGAAAATTTAATGGATTCTTTCATCAGTTTTTGATCTCAAATGAACCAGGAGAATGAAACACATTTTCACAACATATTAATCAACTTTTATGAAACTTTAATTCATTTTCCCCTGATGAGTTCTGAATTGGAGTTTCAGTAAAAGGAGATTAATTTTAATATTTTTATAAAGCTGTATTTTTTCCCACTTTAGAATTTTTATTTTTTGAGTTTGTACTACTATGATTTGTTATTTTAATTTTGATTTGTTTAGATATTGTGTTAAATCTCTTATACATGGATGCAATTATTATTGTTGAGGAATTGCCTTGCTTTGACTCTAATTTACTTTTAACTTTAAATGCTTTAAGTTTATTGTACTTCAATCCTGTAGCTATGAGCGTAGGATGGGTTTAAAGAATTTGCTTTAAAAAAAATCAATTTTTAACCTTATATTAGGTTCAGTAAAGACATGAAGTAAGAAAATTAGAAACAGTTTTACAAAGAAAAAAATTTAAATGTAAATATGTGTAATAAATTCTATAAATAAATTATATAATGTTATAAATTTCTTAAATATGAATTCTATAAATATTAAACATGTGTAATAAATTCTATAAAATCCAATAAATGCAAAATAATAATAATAATAATACATGTTAAAACTAAAAATTTTAAAAAGTAATACCCTAATTTAAAAAAAAATCAATGAAATTTAAAGAAAAGTACATAAAAGAAGAAAAATTTAATCAACTTCAATGCTTCTTCATCAGAAGGAGGAATGCTGAAATCAATTGAAATCTCTCTTCCACAAAAAATCCTTGCTTTTCTGTATCCAGAATTTCTGTATCCAAGCCACTCCAATATATTTTAATTAAACAGTTCATCCGAAATTCTGGCTCCTCCCCAAAGCAAGGTAAAAAAAAACAAAGTAAATTCTAAACATAATTCTACTTGTAAACAAAGAGTATTTAATACAAAAAATTGAAACCGAAAGTGAAATAATAAAAAACTTTAGTGTAAATTTCAAATCAAAATTTTACCTTTAAACAAAGCAAACTTATCCAAAGAATTGAAAGCATAAGTGAAATTACTAAATACTTTTGCATACATGAATCCTTCCATCCATCCATACATACATACATTTCTGAATCTGATCCTGATAAGAGAAGAGAACCAAAATTTATACCCCACTTAAAATAAATAAATAAATAAATAAAATAAAATAAAATAAAAATTTTTAATTTATTACTTTCAAAAGTTTTATAAAACTAGTGAACTGTAAAAAATTAGTTAGAATTTTCATTTTACACCCCCCATTCTGCACAATAAGACCTGTTCAAAATATACATATCCTTAGAAGCTAACATTATTTTGATAACTGAAAAAATAATGGAACAAAGAAAGACAAAAGTTTCATAAAATTAATATTTATAATTACGTTTAAGTAAATAGTAAAAAACATATAAAGAAAATAAAATCTCACAAGAGTCAAATTTTATATTCTTACTAATAATAACTTTGTCACTTCTTTGAAGGGGGGGAAGAACTTGACTGTATTTGAAGGGAGGAAGCTTGTACTTATTAATATAACTAATTAGAAAATATTCAAATACTATCATAATCAGTCTTGCTTAATGATTTTTAGCAGCACAATATTAACAGCGATAACAGAATAGGTTATCAAAATATTACAAACTGCATTATTCATTTAAGTAAACAGAAGAATTCGACAGTTAAAAAACTCATTAACAATTCAGTATGCAAAATTTAAAAAAAAAAAAAAAAAAAAAAAAAACTTCAACTTAACTTCATGGAAAAAGGTCTATATGCTAGTAGAAAGAATTTCCTCACCTGCTGAGAGTTTCATAATAGATATTTCATGAAATATCTGAATATTTCTTCCCCTTAAAGAAAAATAAAAATTAAAACTGAGGTTTCAGTTTTTATGAGGCATAATTTCTAAAGATTATTTTATACAACAACATTTTACAATACATAAAAGTTTATTTGTGACATAATTCTGTTAGCAATAAAAGATTCAGATACTGTGGACTGATAAATTTCAATTATTATTGGGAATGAAAAATTCAGACTATTGAATGAACAGATTTTTGAAAATCATACGAGATTTAGAAACTTGAATCTTACAGATTTTTTCATTGTTCATATATTTCTAAGACTAACCTAAAATTGTTCACATTTTTTTTTTAAATTAAAAGCTCTGGGTTTTATTGACATTCAACAGAAGCCTTTTCTATTTATTTATTATTTCTTTTTTGGCATTAAGATTGCAGCAGCTTTAGGAGACTTAGATCACTAATGTCATTTGCCACACTCTCAACTTTATGAAAAGGATTTAGCATTTTACACCTAATACTTATATGTATTAAGTCTGGAAATAATCCCATCTCTTCTATACTTGATTTGATTTAAAAAATTCTAAAATAAATCTCTTGATTAAAAAGTTTAATTATGTATTTAATTTATCGAATTGCATTAGTTTTTTTAACATAGAGATTTCAAATTTTTCTTTATTTAAATGCTTTAATATTAAGTAAAAGTCTCCTCCTTATTATTTAGATATGAAGCATTTTAGAACCTATTATCAAGGCTATCTATGATTTATTCAAACTTACTGGTTATAAAAGAAAATATTTAAACCGATTCAGATTAAAGGCAATCTCTAAGTACACTCAAGGATACCTACACCTTTTTATATACATTCCCAGGATAATAATTTAAAGAAATATATTTCATGAAAAGTTCACAATGTAAGTAAAATTATCAAAAAAGATATTAGTTCAATTTTCCCCAATGAATATTGTTTGATAGGAAAGCAAATCTATTTTGAGTCAATTCTATGCAATCAAACAGAAGTTATATTATACCTGCATTCTAAAATTCTGATAACTGACTAACAATTTCGAACACAAATCTACATCTTTATCGAGGAAAGAGGAGAAGATTGCAAAATTTTGTAAAACTTAAAATAAAATATGCATGAGGCACTTTGGCATCAAAACATTTAAATATATGATTTCATACTATTAAAATAAGAGTTAAGGCATGAAGGGAGACATGTTGCATGACAGATTATAAATTTTTCGTTCTCTGACAATTAAACTATAAGAAAATACTAAAGTTTGTTATCCAAACGTGTGCAGCTCAGGTAGACAGAATATACATTTAAAAAGTGATTCTTAAAAATATAAGTCTTCAAATACAATAGCGTCAAGAGTATGACAATTGATAATATGATGGAAAAACTATTCTTTTTTACAACTACTTACAATAAAAACATCACAGATATAAAAATATCAGGCAAACACTTTAAAAATGAAGGTTCCTGTTTCTCAACTGCAACTATGAAAAACTGCACATATACACATTTTGGAATTAAAAACTTTTACATTTGAAATAGGAAATCCACACAAATAAATGACAAATAATTTTAGGCACTGTAATAAAAACAATTTAACAACAAATTACATATGCAAACAACATTTAAAATCCCTTTTAGTTAAAGATGACAAATACTTTGTATTACTTTTGAGTTGAATTCACCTTTAATATTTTTAAACATTAAAATTAATGACTTGATTAGAAATCAAAAAGTAGATTTCAGTATTCAAATACTATTCTATATTACAAAAATATGTATAGAACAGTATTTTTCATATAATTTAGTTACCTACAACTCAAATGTAGAAATTCTTCAGTCCTACAACTAAAAAATGAAACTCCTTTAAATAATTTAATTTAAATAAAACTGACATCCTAATCTATTAAAAATATATAACGTGGAGAAAATAAATAAAGGAATGTGTTGAGAAAAAAACAATCTTAGATGAGAAAAGCATATATGAAAAGAGTATTTTGTGAATGAAAATCTGATAGCTATCATGCTATTTTTGAAAATCTAAAGAAAGATATTTGAAATAGCAGATAAAAATATATTCAGATTTTTGATTAATTAATCTATATTTAAATTTAAAAAAGAGTAAAGTTTAAATTTCATAAGTGCTTATTTATACTTATTTAACATCCTTTGTTTACGTATCATTAAATTACCTAACTTTGATCAAATGATGATTTATTTATGATTTCTGAATTATTTATTCACAAGAATTGATAGAAAATGTAAAGCAGTTTGGAAAAGTTTGTTACTACTTGTATTAATCATAACTTAAGAAGACAACGAGATTAGCATCACAAAAGGGAAGTATATAACATTACTTTTTAAATCAATGTTCTCCTAAAAGCTAAATTCATTTTTAGTATTATTAAAAACAATTTAGCTTCCAGTTTTTGGCTTGTATTTTTACATAAAAGCTTTAAAATTTTCCTAGGAAATTTAAAATATCATCCATTTTTATCTAACACATCAGGCAAAGTAAATATGATTTAAAAAAAAAAACTTTACAGATTTAAAAGTATAACAGAGCTATTTTCTATAATAGCAAAGACTTTATAAGAAACCTATTTTTTTTTTTTTATTTATTTATTTATTTATTTTTTTTTTTTTTTTTGTTTTTGTCTAATAAAAAAAAAACAGCAGGAATTTATGTTTATGCATACTTTGAATAATTAGCTGAATTATATTGTATTACACATAATTCCATGGTAATTCTTCATATTTAATATTTTCTTTAACACTGAATATTAAAATAAAAATGGCTCTCACTAGAAAATTCAGGTCATTTGCATCACATTGACAAAGAAATAGTTTTCTAAAGTTAACATTTTCATTTATTTCTCATCATTATGGAATATTTCTCCCTCTCCCCCCCAAAAAAAAAAGCCAACTAAGTGCTTTTTTTCAAATAAGAAATGAACATAACAGAAAAAAAGTTTCCAGAAAATTTCAAACATTTTTTTTTTTTTTTTATTTTTTTATGAAACAACAATACTTCTATTAATTAAAAACTTTTTTCATACGGTAGAAAGGGAAAAGATTACACTAAGATGCCATAAAGAAACTTTCTTAGTCAAGAAAAATGTAACAAGGAGAAATTTTGACATAAAAAAAATCTAACATTAAGGAACATGATTGAAAAAATATAAAATAGAGTTAACTAGTAATTCTTCTTAACCAAGAACTTCTTAAATGCATTCAACTGTATTTAGTTCAATATGGAATTAGTATTCTGACAGAAATATAAAAATGTACAGAAATGAATCACAACTCTTAAAAATTGGTAAGAAATTTAATTTTTCTTCATAAATATTATTCACTGATTTGTATGTCAGTTAAGAGGACGTAAAGATTGTTTCTCGTTTTTAAAATTCATATGTGGATGTAATTTTGTTATTGTGAACCAAAATGATTGTGAATATTTGTTACATATTTTTGTAAATATTTTGTGTATATAAATATACATACATATCTTTGCAAATATTTTGTGTATAATAAATTGTGTAAATAATTTTGTCATTTAATTATTGTTTACTAATTTAAAAATTTTACATTCATTACAGCTTAGAATGAATTTTTTTTAAAACAGACAGAATGAAACATATTAATGTTACTAATTGTGAAGTAAGAAATTATGTTAGAAGTTAGACCTAACAAAAAACATAAATTTAAACAAAATAAGGTATCTGGAATCAATTAATGAATTCAAATTTATAACTGAGCCAAATTCTCCCCAGTCATTAATTTTAAAAAGTAATAAAAGCTGAAATAAAATTTTAATTAAATACACTTTTGTCATGAATTATTTTACATAACATTAATATTTTTTCTTTGTTAGATAATTAGAAAATTACAAATACTTCATAAAGCAAAAATAAATTCTTTTCACATTATAAAGTATAAAATAAATAAATAAATTACTTAAGATTAGACTCATGCATATTTAGAGAATTATATCAACATGATTTGTAGGTACATAATATGCTGCGCACTATCTCAAGGTCAAAATATGAAAAGCATTTACTTTATATTATACTATTTATTAGCACAGCATATAAGTTTCTGCACATCTAGGTATGTACACTTGCAAAAGTTTTATGTGATTAATTTTACACATACCAGTTCTCACATCAGGTGAAGTAAATACGATAAAAAAAAATTACAGATTTAAAAGTATAACAGAGCTATTTTTTACATATTCTGGCCACAACAAACAGTGCCTATCTTTTGTCATTTTATCCCTGATTTCTGATAAAACATATGCTATTTAAAATAAATATATTGGAATTTCAATACAATTTACAACTAGGAAAAACTAATATTCTAGAAAAAATGCATTTATATAAACAAAGCAAACATATAGTCTTGACAGCATTTATTGTTTTTGCAAATTATTTTATATTCTGATTTTTGCAAATGATTTAGAAATGAATTTTAGAGGTGCAAATCATTTAAAAAAAAAAAAAAAAAAAAAAAAAATAGCACACAAAATACTAAACAGAAGTAAGGTATGTGACTATAATTTTCCACTCAGTAAGTTTTGAATTATAATTTCTAACTTCAAACAGAAGATTACTTAATCCTTAAATGCATCATCTTTTAAAATTAATTTAAAACTTTTGAAATTACAGATTACTCAAAAAAGCATAAAATACCATAACAGAATTTTTATGTGCTTCAGAATGTTAAATAGATTTATGTCTAATGTACAATACTTAGCATTGGCTTAATAAATTATAATTCAGTTTCAAGAAACTAAGTGGAAAAATACAAAAATAATTTTTAGTAAATAATATTAATACTTTTATTGAGAGCAAGAAAAATATGATGATTATACATGCTTTTAACATAATAGACATATACCCATAATACTTTTGTCAAATATCATCACCTGTTGGCTAAAACTGGTAGAAAGCATTCCTGAGCTTATTGAAAAGAACATAAAGTTTTGTCATTCAAGAATCATAATAAAAAAATAAGTTTTCTTTGCTTTGTTACATAACATCTACAACTTGCATTTAAGGATTAAGACTTCTTTCATTATTTTAAAAGTCTCCCACATTTACAAAAAAAAAAAAAAAAAAAAAAAAAAAAAAAAAAAAAAAAAAGTAGAAGTCTATTTAAATTATTCTTCCACTTCATTTGGTAACTTCAATTTAAAATATGGTCTCTTAAGCAGATGCTGTTGAGAATTTTATATTGATATTTTGAACTTTTGGTTACACATCAATTGAAGTCATTTAGTAGAAATGACTACATAAACTTGTCTTTGTTTCTTCCAAATAATCAAAAGGCTTGCCACAGAAATCATGTAATAATATACTTCAAAAAATACTTATTTCCTGCTGATGTAATATTTGGCTTAAAAATTTGTCAGTGCTTGAAATTTTTTACTACTCATTAAGAAATTAGAATTTAAGTAGATATATAACCACTTTTAGAATAAATTTCTTATTCTGTTTAACTTTCCATTAACTTTCAAAATTATGAGACTGCAGACTGATCAGCTGAAATATATGCTTATCACAATGTAAAAAATACTAATCTCAGATATGAGTAGCATATCAAATTTGGCATTGCTGACTTTATTACTAAATAAATTGAGCAAGTACAGCATATCAGACTGTGACACACAATATACTTTTCAGTAACTACAGAATGAAATAAACATACAAAAAAATGTTGCATTGAGAAACAGTGCTCTTCATTGAAATTTGATAAAACATGTTGCAAAACATGAACAGACTCGTATATACAATTCATATATAAAATTCTAATCTCTTTAAAAACAAATTTGAATATGATATTGTGAATGCAAAATTACATTCTGACTTAGAATATGAAGAAATATTCTGATATAGGATGCACATGGAAATACATATATAAATAGATATAAAAATTAGTTGATCACATCTGACCAAGCTTCAATCCTTTTGTTAGGACATCCAGTGAGAGATGTTTCTTTACAAGGTTCCAGTTCTTCAGCCAGTGCCCAATTAATCTTACCTAAAGTAAGAAAATATTATGTTTAAAATAATAATACACATAATTTTTAAGCTGCTCTGAGATTAATTTAATCTCAAAACAGCATGAAAGAAGGAGGATTTCATTTATTTTTATTTTCTATGAACTTTTTCACACCGCATATTACTTTAGAAACTGACTTATACATGTAGATATTTATAGCTACTTTATTCATCATAGTATATAACTTCAATTAAATACAGGTCAGCATTTTTATCACTTTATGATTAGTTCTCTCTTCACTTCATTCCCAGTGGATGTTGTTTACAACAGCATTTTAAACAAAATTTTTTAAAATGTTACTTAAAGTATCTCTACATGCATGCAGCTGATACGCAATAACAAGTGAAACATAAGAAATTCTTAATCCCCCCCCACATTACTTCTTAAAAAATTTTAAAAATTAAGCAACTGTCAGGTGCTAGAGTTTATAAATAAGATCGCAGCACTGGACTCAAATTCACCCCCTAAAAAAAAACTTTCTATTCAGAATAATTATAATGAATTGAGTAAAGTGGCATACTTCCAAATTAACTACTAACTAGCGGAAAAGTGCATCTCCCCCCAAAAAGATAACGCAATTCAATTCAAGTACAAATAAAACTTTGAGTAACATTACAGGTTTCAAAAATATGTTGGCACATTTTTTCTATATCAGATTTTAAGCACAGACATAATAAAGCAAAAAGATAAGGTCACACATAGTGAAAACAAACTTCAGCATCGACAACAAACTCTGAATGAAAAAAAAAAAAAAAAAAAAGATATGATTACAAATTACAGACAAATATGCATTGGGGAAAAAAAAAAAACCAACCGTTCTGATATGACCTCTTTGGTGACATGTACACACTTGGCTGGCCATTGGCTATTGTTTCAATGCTGGGCCTCAGTGGTGGCAGTTCATTTAACCTAGATACATGACTAACACAAGCAGAGTCTAACACTTCAGGCATAACTCGGTTCTTAAACCTTTTCTTAATTTTCTTTGCTTTTTTCCTTCTGTCTGTAAAAAAAAGAAAAAAAAAATGCATTTATAACACATGGGGAAAAGCATGTTAATTTCTTTTACTAATTTTACTGTCACTTCAGTACTAATGTTTCAGCTACATAGTGACAACTAGTAATCAAAACACTAAAAAGATTCTGCTAATAAAAAGTGCAAGCAGGAAAATAATTTATATTGAAACAGACATACACACATAAGAAAGAGAGGGGGAAATACTGTTTGACAATATATTCATTTAAAAAAAAAAAAAATCTGAACAAAGGGGGAGGAAAACTTTATCATAATAAACACAATCTAAATGGAAATTAACTAACAGTTTAAAACAAAGTTTCCATTTATGCTTTTTAGTTTTAGCTTAAAACTTTTATGCTAATGGTTAATTAAATGCATCGAACAGACATGAATACCTCAAACTCTTATATATAGTATCTTAATTAACAAGTAACTTATCTAATTCAATATAGCAAAGCACACAAAGGGCTATATACCTAATAAAAATTATTGCTTTGTTGAGGATCTTCTAAGATACACAGATTTTCATTTATGCTACACATGGAGAGAACCATAAAAACTTAATACAGTGAATGATCCAGCAAAACCTAAAATGACACCCATAACATGCTACTAAAGCCATGTTTCTCACCATGTCACTACTGCTCCTTAGTAATTTCTAAAGAGATCTAAAAGTGTTACTGGACCAATGACCAGCAAAGAAGGTGAGCAGGGAGAGCATGCTTTGAATAGTGAGTGAGTGAGAGATTATGGCGCAAAACCAAAGTTGATTATAGTGCGCCAAACGCGAGATAGGGTGAGTACAATTTATGAAATTAAAAATACAATAAATAAAAACAAGTAGACAAATGTATCAAATCCAGAGGATGAAGTCATATAAAAACAAGTTAAAACCACACATTTAAAATTCAAGACACAATCTTCAAAACAAATTACATTAGGTGATAAAAGCCAGTCTCTTTTAAATAATAAAATAAATTACAATTGACCTCTCTTCCGATTAAACGGTCGAGAGGTAAGTCACAGCTATTAAAATATTTCTGGCGAAGATTATTAAAATATGGACACTCAATTAAAATATGACGGACAGATAACAAACATTACAATTTGAACAACAGGCTCATTTTCAGCTTTTAAAAGGTAGTTATGTGTCACTCTTGTGTGACCAATTCTGAGGCGAGTCAAAAGAACTTCCTTCCTTTACGGTTTTCCAGCAAAATCCCAGTGCTCAATTCTAGGCTTTACATGTCTTAACTTGTTTTGACGCTGAACATCCCAAAATTGTTGCCATTTTTTTCGGTATCTTCTTTTTGACACAACACAACGGATGTCTCCAAAAGGGATGAGGCGACTGGACAGTTCAACAGCAGATTTGGCTGTGATATCTGCCAGCTCATTCCCTTTATTCCCACATGTCCGGGAACCCAGCAGTACAGGATTTCATATCCACGAACTCGTTAAGGTTTATATGAATTTTGAGAACATCCACTACCACTGGGATTTTGAGTGTTTAGGAAAAGCTTCTAAAGATTTAAGAGCACTATACGAGTCTGTATAAACTATAAACTTTTTGTGCAGAGCCTTGAGATGTATAAAAGACAATAATATATTGCAGTTAGTTCAGATGTTAAGACAGAGAAAGGCATGGTGCAAGCGTCTGCCCTCCATGTGGTCTTCAATTACAAATGCCATCCCGACATGATCTTTTGACTTGGATCCATCTGTATAAACTGGAAAGTAACTGCTATATTTGTGCCTGTGCTCAGCGAAGAGTTGTCTGTAAATGATCTCGTTAGTGCTTGCCTTCACGTGATGCTTGAAAACATCAAGAAGCTGAATCCGTGCATTTTCCCAAGGTGGGAATTTCAAAATTCTGTACTGCTTGGGGGGCGCATATCAGAGAGGGAAAGTTCCTCAATGACAGGGCGAACTCTTAAAAGAAAGGTAGGAACACAGGATGGACGTGTTTCAAATAAAGTGTTACACTCATTCATCAAGTAAGCACAGCTTATTGGGATGTTCAGGTTGGGATAGAATATTAAAATATTGCAAAAGGGACAATTGCTCACACGCCTCAGATAAAGTGATGGTTCGTTAGAGTCAACATACAGGCTCTGGACAGGAGAAGTCCTGAAAGCTCCTGAACAAATCCGCAGACCTTGATGGTGAACAGGATCCGAGTTTTAACAAAACAGATGACCGAGCGGATCCATAAACAACTGAGCCATAGTCCAGTCTAGAGCGGAACAAGCGCTCTGTAAATGCGAAGCATGGAGCAACGCTCTGCACCCCAGGAGGTGTTCGCCAACACTTTTAAAATATTTAGTGTTTTTAGACACTTCTTTCTCAGGTTTAAAACATGAGAAAGGAAAGTCAATTTCTGGTCGAACGTCACTCCTAAAAATTTTACTTCGAGCGCAACTGGAATAATTGAACCATTGAGATATAACTCAGGTTCAGGATGGAGACCTCGCTTCCTACAAAAGTGCACGCACACACAGTTTTTTTGTTTTGGAAAAAGTAAATCCCTGTTTTGTTGACCATTCTTGGATCTTATTCAGAGCCATCTGCAATTGCCTCTCTACGTATCTCATGTCTGCCCCTCGACAGCTAATCTGTAAATCATCTACATATAGTGATCCCAAGATGGTGGGAGGAAGTTCTTTTAATACAGAAGTTTATTTTTAAGTTGAACAGTGTTACACCAAGCACACAGCCTTGAGGCACACCCTCTTCCTGTTCAAAAACATTTGGCAAAACAGAGCCAATCCTTAGTTGAAAAGTTCTAGATTTCAATAAATTCTGAATGAAAATTGGTAGGTTCCCGCGCAAGCCACTGTCGTGAAGATCCCGAAGTACACCGTATCTCCATGCCTTATCATAAGCTTTCTCAATGTCAAAGAATATTGAGACAAGGTGACTTCTTCTTACAAAAGCTTTTCGAATGGATGTCTCTAAGAGGAGCATGTTATCTACGGTTGTTCTCCCCTTTCGAAAACCGCTTTGATAAGGCGATATAATATTATTCTTTTCCAAGAAGTAGACTAGGCGGCTGTTTACCATCTTTTCAAACAGTTTGCATAGGCAACTCGTAAGGGCAATTGGCCGATAGTTGGAGGGATTCCTTGGATCTTTCCCTGGCTTAGCAATAGGAATGACAACAGCTCTCCTCCATGCACTGGGAAATGTACGCTCCTTCCACACTCTATTGTAAAGAGTGAGAAGGGCACTCAGTGACTTATAGGACAGATGCTTTAGCATTTCATAATTCACGCCATCCAAGACCCGGACAAGACCTATGTGTCTGCAATAAAGCTCTCTTTAATTCAACCATAGTAAAGTCTCTATTGTAAGGCTCAGATTTGGAAGAGTTGAATGCGATGGGATTTATTTCAGAGTGCTGCTTGATAGAGAGAAATGCAGGTGTATAGTTTCTTTCTGCTGGAAGAAACGGCAGCAAATGTCTCACCAATAGTATTCGCAATTTCTTCTATGGAGCTAATCACTCGGCCATCTTTTTCCAAAAGGAAAGTGAGTGGTCTTTATACATTGCCGCATGCTTTTCGAACTCTTTCCCAAACCCGCTTACTAGGCGTAGAGGATGTTATTGACGACACATATGAAATCCAGGAATCCCTCTGGCTCTGCCTTCTTACTTTTCGTGCATTTGCTTTGGCTCTTTTAAATGCTATGAGGTTTCGCAGAGTAGGATATCTACGAAAAATACCCCATGCTTTTTTCTGTTTTTTCAGTGCTTCATGACAGTCGCGATTCCACCACGGTTTTGAATATTTTAGTAGTTTTTCCTGATGTTCTAGGAATCGAAAGCATAGCTGCCTGAATAATAGTATTAGTAACAGCTTCACACAGCGTCATCGATATGCACATCTTCTACCATTTCCTCTGTGAGCTCTGCAATGGAAGAGAAGAGTTCCCAGTCTGCCCTGCCCTGTCCAGTATAAACCGAGGGAGTCTCGACATGGGGTTTGCTCCTCTTCGTGCAAGAGACACAAAAATGGGATAATGATCGCTGTTGTACAGGTCATTTCCGACACTAAAAGTGCAAAATGGCAACAGAGACGGTGAACAGATGGCAAGGTCGAGAGCATGGAATGTCCTTGAAGGCTCATGGAAGTAAGTATCCTGCCCATTATTCAGGAGACAAAGGCTATGATCTTCGATCATCTGCTCAATTTGTCTTCCTCGGCAATTTGTATTATATTACCCCAGAGCGGACTATGGCCGTTAAAATCTCCTATTATGATGAAAGGCTCAGGCAGCTGCTCTAGTAGACCATTTAAATCTTGCTGAACAATATGCTCATTTGGAGGCAAATACAGAGAAACAAACTGAAACAACAATATCAAAATTTGTTTGAGTAGCGACAACTTGGAGGGATGTCGTCAAAGGAAAGCACATTTGAGGGATAATCCAGTGAGGTGAGGAGACCTACACCTCCACTGGCACGCTCACCTGCAAGGTTATCCTTTCCTGACGAAAGAAAACCTCCGAAGTTTTGCCTGTTGTTCTGGTTTTAGATTTGTTTCCTGTATTGCGAAGCATACAGGATGATAAGCATTAATTATAGCTTTGATGTCGAGCAAATTTCGGTGGAAACCGCGACAGTTCCATGAGACGAGGGTGGCCATTATGTCTGGTTTTTGTTTTTCCTGTGCTCTTGTTTGGTTTTTCGTGGAAGTAGATGCCTGGGAAATTCTAGACCCTCCTTCTACTTCCATACTGTCTGAATCCGCAGATTCAGAAATCATTTCATCAAAGAGCTATTGCTGGAACTTCTATTTTTATTTGATACATTTTTGTGGCAGTTTTGGGTTTACTTTGAATGACTGTTTCTTTATTTTGTATTAAATGTGTTGACTTTTCTGTTTTTTTCTTGGTGGATGTAGTCGGTTGGGTTTTATTTGGTTTAGTCTGCGTGCCTATTGATGTTTGGGTGGCAATGTACGTGTTGTTTTAACTGCACT